AGATGTTCTGTATCAGCTGAAACCTCCACTCGGTCCACGGCTTTCAGCCTAGAATTGCTCAATTTCATCTAGACTTGCTGTCCGCTCTCCAGGATGAACCCTCTCCTCCCCTGTGTGACAAAGCTCTTTCCTTCCGTCTTGTCTTGGTGGCCTGTGTATTCTAATGTCTTTTACCGTTGCACTTAGTAGGATCCCAAGAGAGGGCACTCCTTCCCAAACATCAGACACTCCAATAGTCATTGATATTTCTGATTTCTTTCATAACCCACTCACATGGACTGAGTACCTACTATGTGCCAGGGGCTGACTAATAAAGCCATTGATCCTTCAGGGAACGCAAAGCCTGTATAGGTGCAGCCAGATGAACAGGCCAGAACCAGCAGATGCGGCAGCTGCTGCTGTCAGTGGAATGCAGGCTCTGACCCGTAGGCCTCCCCATCATCTGGGCCCTCATGCATTCCATAAACATGTCCTAGGCGCCCTCATCATGCCAAGGGTTATGCTGAATGCTGGCTACATGGAATGAGATGAATGTACATGGAAACACCTAAGCTTCTCCACGTGACAGCAGGGTTTGTTATCTTGGGTAGATTAATTATCTTGTGCTTTAGTCTAAACTCAATCAGCGACACTCAGTTGCCACAGGACCATTTATTTAGAAGACTCCCTTACCCTGCTAGGTGGTGTTTGGTGCTAGTGTTGGACACTCTCTGTCTGCTCTGATGGTTACTACTGTGAACTTGACAGGGTCGCCTAGGAGGCAAGCCTCTGGCTATGTCTGTGAGGGATTTTCTAGATGCTATTTGAGGTGAGAGCTGCAAAAGCCGGGGTCATCCGAAGTGTGACATTCAGAGCCACAAACTTGAGCGAGGCTCCTTCGACGATGAAAAGCTCAGGAGGGGACAGGGGCTCTGGGTAACAGTAAAACCTCAAGCAGACACTGTGCGGGCAAAGAGGAGGCAGTGAAGGAGACATCTCCCAGCTTTCTGCTGCCATTTGTCACTGCTATCATCTCCAGGGAAAGCTCCACAGACACAGGAGCCTCTCTGTGTGCTTGTTCTGGGCTGGGGGTGATGATAGTGTTATTTTGCTTTGTTTTGTTTTATTTTATTTTATTTTTTTGTTTTTACAAGACAGGGTTTCTCTGTATTGTTTTGGAGGCTGTCGGTCCAGCCTGGCCTCGAACTCACAGAGATCCACCTGCCTCTGCCTCCCGAGTGCTGGGATTAAAGGCGTGCACCACTACCGCCTGGCTTATTTTGTTTTCTTTTTGTTGTTTTGTTTATTTTTTTGAGACAGACTCTGACTTGGAGCTCAGGCTGTCCTTGAACTCACTACATAACCTCTCAAAATTGTGGTTATCCTCCTGCCTTGTTGTCCTGGGCACTGGGATTACAGGTGTCGCTTTTGTTTTCTAATAAACCCCATTGCCATTTTATTGATTTAGGTATTATCTTACCCACCACAGATAAATTGAAAATCTCCCTCAAATAATCTAAGCATTGAGAACTCTACGCTGGTGGTTACTCACAATCTTCACCCCAGGGTTTCTAACAAGCATCCCAACAGATCCATAGACCCCCCCCTCTGTCTCCAGAGAGGCTCCTTCATTCCATTGTGGATGTGGATAGAAACTCAGCAAGTTCTTCTTGCATAGCGTCTTAGAGAAACTGTAAGCAGAAAAAGAAAAATGTTGCCTGAAGTACCGTGGTTTTCAAAATGAAAACTAGGAATGTGCGCAGAAATCTGAAGGAGCTCACGTCTAATCTGCTGTCATGTTCCTGTAGCTGAAGCAAGACAGCAGTTGGGAGCAAAGCAGAGGCTCCACCTTTCACCAACTGTTTATACACATGCTCCCTCTCCTCCATGCTTCCAGCCTTTACATTTCAAACGCCCTGGTCATCACACGCAATTACCATTACACCATGTTCTCTAGGCAATGGCGCTCAGACAAGGGAATGAAGGAGACTCCTTCAAGGATAAAAAGCAGAGAGAAGAAAAGAGGGTCTGGGTAGCAGTCTCAAAAAACCATTGCGCAGATAAAGAGGAGGCAACAGAGGAAACATTTTCAAGTTTATTGTTGTAAACTCTGATTACGCAGGGAATATCTGTAAATGTCTTCAGACAGTTTTCTTTCTTCCACCCCCCCATGATAGGGTTTCTTTGTGTTATAGCCCTGGCTATAGTCCTGGAACTCGATTTGTAGACAGACCAACCTGTGCTGGAACTCAACAGACGGTCCTGCCTCTGCTCCCTGAGTGCTAGGATTAAAGGCGTGCACCACTATACCCAGCTTCTTCAAATATTTTTAGATGCCACAAGAATGGGATACTGATGGCATCGGGCAGGGCTTATCGCTGGACACTTAGCAATTCCCAAGACATACCCTGACTAACAAAGCATGGTCCTGAGATGATCTACCTATAGCTTTTGTCAAATTCTCAAACGAGATATGAGTCAAAAACTCAAGAACTCTAGCTTTTACTAATATTTCCCCTAAGTAATGGGAGAAAAGAGTAACACCTTGCTGCTAAGTTTTTCATGCCCTGCTGCCCTTCTCAGCCCCAAATAGGCACACAGACACTTTATTAATTGTAAAAGTGTTGATCAATGACTGGGGCTTATTGGCTAGCTGTCTTGGTTATTAATTAATTAGTTCTATTAATCTATGTATTTCCACATGGCCTTATGTTACCAGAGAAACCCTGGCGCGTCCCATCCTTCCAGTCCCTCGATGGTATTCCCCTTCTGGCCGTCTCTGCTTACCTTTCCCAGAATTCTCCTGGCCCGGCCTATCTTCCTGCCTCTACCAATAAGTGAAACATACACACAGAGGACACCTCCCCCATCAACACACCAATTCTTCACGACAGAAGTCATCAGACCCATGCCACCTGTGTCCTCACCGCCCATTGTCATTCATGGCTAGACAAACGGTTCTTTGTAGCTCTGGAACCTTCAAGTATCTCGTTCCACAAGACAGGTTAATATGATTACAAACGCGACAGCTATTAACTATAAAGATATTAATGTTATGGCAAGGGTGAGGGGGTAAACACTAGAGATGGCTCAGGGGTTAAGAGCACCAGCTGCTCCCCCAGGGGTCCTGAGTTCAATCCCCAGCACCCACATGGTGGCTCACAACCATCCGTAATGGGATCTGATTCCTGCTGGTGAGCGTGAAGAGAGAACACTCATACACATGAAATAAGCGTATTTCTTTTTTTTGTTTGTTTGTTTTGTTTTGTTTTTACGAGACAGGGTTTCTCTGTTTTGGAGGCTATCGGTCCAGCCTGGCCTCGAACTCACAGAGATCCGCCTGCCTCTGCCTCGCGAGTGCTGGGATTAAAGGCATGCGCCACCAACGCCCGGCGAAATAAGCGTATTTCTTTTTAAAAAAGGTTATTAATGTTGTAGCCTCGTGATGCCATTCTCTTTTAGACACGTTCTGTTCAATAACCGTTTTAATATTTTGTTTTGTTTTTTCCAACACATCGCCGGGCACTGACAAAAATAAAACTGAGTTTACAGCCTACCATCAGCGACAGAGACAAAACTGAAGAGCATGTGGCTATAGCTTTAACCAGGGCCCGTGAGTGTGTGAGGCCGAATGAACCAAGCGTGAGCACACTCGTGTCACTGCCCAGGGTATTTATCTCACCCTCGTGCAGCACCGGGTAAGCTGCCTTCTTTTCTGGCTCAACAATCCTGGGACAAAGCCATCACAGTGCAGGTAAATTAGACTATTCTCACACTCGGTATTCCCGGGGCACTGCCAGGCAAACGTGAGGTTCGGGCTGGGCGTGGGGACACAGTCGTGTAGCTGTGAAGGCGGGAGGGTCAGAGTTCTATCTAGGACAGCCTAGACTACACAGCCTTTTGGTTTTGTTTTTGTTTTTTCGAGACAGGGTTTCTCTGTGTTGCTTTGGAGGCTGTCCTGGAACTCGCTCTGTAGACCAGGCTGGTCTCGAACTCACTGAGATCCACCTGCCTCTGCCTCCCGAGTGCTGGGATTAAGAGTGTGCGCGCCACCAGCACCAGGCTTGCTATTTTTATTTTTTGAGGCCACACAGAGTGCTATCCGATGAGATCTAATAGGAGAGCAGCACGGGGTGGGGTGGGCAGGAGGGTAAGGAGCGCGGGCACCGACGACGCCCCTTCCAGACATCGGGAGGCGTCCTCGCCGTCGGCGCTGCGATCGCCCCCGAACCAGGTATCCGGAGCTCACTCCGACCTCTTACTCTTCCCCCCTCTACCCCGCCGTTATCAGCGGCGCTCCAGCCGCCGGCCTCCGCAGGCCCGGGGCGCCCTTCACCCCCACCCCACCCCGATGATCGGGCTCCAGCCTCCAGCAGCTCCGTGACGGGCCCCGGGGCGAGCCAGGGACGCCCTGAGCGCGCGCGGGACCGGTGAGAGAACAATGGCTGCCGGCCCGACCCGGGGGGCGGGGGTCACGGCCGAGCGGAGGCGTCGGCCACGCGGGGGAGGGGACCCAGGCGTCTCCCCGGCCGGCGCCGCCGCTAGCGCCTCCTCGGGCGCCCGGCGGGCCAGGGAAGCACGAGAGCCGCGGCGGTGGAGGAGGAAGAGGAGCAGGCGAACGAGCGAGGGAACGAGCGAGCAGCGTCCGCAGGCCCGAGGTCACGCACGGGCGAGCAGGGAGGAGCGAGCGGGCGGGCGAGCCGGGGCGCAGGCCCCCTGCACTTCCCGTCCCAGGCTCCGCCCCTCCGCGCTTATGTAACAGGGGAGAGCCGCCATTGGCCCGCACGGCCGGAAGGGCGCGGGCCCGAGCGAGACGGACGGGCGGGGCGGGGAGGAGCGGAGCGGCCGCGAGAAGGCGAGGGGCGGGGCCTCGCGGGCGAGAGGGAGCGCGCCGTGCGTGCGTGCGCGCGCGCGCACTGGCAGACGGGCCGGGCTCAGGCTCAGGCTCAGGCGCGGCGGGTGAGAGGGCGGGCGCGCGCTGCGGCGGGAGTGCGTGCGTGCGTGCGTGAGAGCGTGCGTGCGTGCGTGAGAGCGTGCGAGCCAGGCGCGGGCTGTTGTGCTCCCGGCTGTGCTCGGTCCCTGCTCGGCGGGTGGCGCAGGCCCCGAAGCGGTGCGGTGCGGTGCGGCGCGGGGCGCGTCCCTCCCTCCCTCCCTTCCCTGCTCGTCCTGCCCGGCTCCCTCTCGCGCTGCGCGGTCTCTCGGACGGCAGACCGGCCCCGGCCCGGGTGAGCAGCGGCGCCGCAGGACGCGGGGGAGCGAGCGGGCGGGCGGGCGGACTCCGGGGTGGGAGGCACGCGGCGGCGGCGGCGGCGGGAGGCCGGTCGGACCGGGGCCGGGGCGGGCGCGGGGCTGCGGGCCGCCGAGGCCTCGGCCGGGCCGGGTTACAGCCGCGCGGAGGTGGCGCCTGCCCGCGATCGGGCGCTCGGAGCCCGGCTCGGGCCGCGCGCGGAGCCGGCCCGGGGCCTTTGCAGAGTGCGAGCCCGGCTCCCGGCTCCCCGGCCTCGGCGTGAGTGTTGCGCTGCTGCGGGAAGCCCCGCAGGGGGCCGGGCTTTTGCTCGTCGCGTCCTCCCCAGGCGCCCTGGTTCCCCCAAGAAGTCTTCCCTGGCCGGGCCTTAGCTGCTCTGCAGCCTCCGGGGAGCACTAAAAGTTTGATTTAGGGAGAAAGAAAGGCACCGGCGGGCTAGCCGTCTGCAGGCGATGTGTCGCCTTTCAATTGGCCGCCCTTCCCTCGGCGAGCGGTGTGGACACGACGCAGGGGTTTCGTCGAGAACTCGAGGCGCTGGTCCCGAGCGGAGGGAAAGTTGAGCTGTCCCGAAGCAGGTGGTTGGCTCGCTCGCTTGCTAGATCGCTCGCTCGCGCTTCTGCTTTCGGAAGGGAAACCCGTGCCAGGGTTGCTGTCAGAAGTTAGCAGCTCGCCCGGTAGAGCGGATCTCCTCGGCCGGCCCAGGGTTAACGTTTTGTCTCCAGAAAGAAGACATGGTCGCATGTCGTTTTTGTTACTGTTGCTGCTGGGTAGTAAAGGGAATGGGGGTTACATCCTGTCTCTTTCAGGGAAAGCCCTAGATTCAAAAGTTAAAAATGTTTTTTTTTTTTTTTTGCTCACCTGATGCCATTGGTTTTGTTTGTTTGTTTTTTAAATTAAAGTACAGCCCGTGGGAAAGGTTTATCAAAACAGCTCTCTTCACTTCTGGGTTGCATTGAAAGTTCATGGTGTGGCTGTTTTGTAGCTTCGTAGAGCAGACATAAAATTCTTTTTTTTTTTCTTTAAGTTTAAATTTAGATTAGAAACAAGGTTGCTTTACAAGTCAGTTCCAGGTCCCTTTCCCTCCCCTCCCCCCGTGCCCTCCCCCCAACCCCCCCATTATCCCCTCATTTCATTCAGGGCAGGGCCTAGACCCTCCCCCAAGAGTTCAGGGAGAGAGTGCATCTCACACAAAATTCTTAAAAGACTGTCCCTCAAAGTAACACCTTCGCATGCATAACCATATTGTATTCGAGGGTTGAGTATGAGGTAACCAGATGTTTTAGCGAGGGTCTGATACTAAGACAGGTGGACATTAAGAATGGTTTCAGAGTGCCGGTGTTCATAGATTGAAGACCCACATCAGAATGTACTTTTAAATATGCCATTGGGCCAAATGGCTCTCTCCTTTAATCCCAGCACTCAGGAGGCAGAGGCAGGTAGATCTCTGGGAGTTCGAGGTCAACCTGGTCTATATAGCAAGTTCCAGGACAGCCAGGGCTATATAGTGAGGCCCTGTCTCAAAAGAGAAAACAGAACACCCCCCCCCCAATGCCATTGGACTTAGAGTTGAGAAGGGATTTGTTTAAAACATAAAAAGGAAGTGTAATCTTTTTGATAAACAGCTGCTATTTGCCTTGGATGGTAATGGAATTCTTCTGTTAGGCTAGCATATTAAGCATTCTTGTAGTTGGTGAAAGAGTGGACAGGCTCTATAGGAAAACATAATTCTGCCTGTCTTATCAGATGTTCAGTTTATTGTGTAGCAACACTACAGGAATGTGTCCAGTAAGTGCACATTTGTCGAGTTTCCATTGGGGACAGGGAGGTTGCCGGGAGAGCCTGACTGTTGGTGTGAAACACTTTTGACTTTATATCTGGTAACTAAGGAGGGTTCCAGCCAGAAAAGGCCAGCCTTCTAGTAAGGTCCTTGTATGTTCCTGTCTTTCAGTGATTTTGAAGTTTAAGCTGTAATTACAGTGTTGTTCAAAATGACATAGGCTCTAACTTTCATATGCTTCAAAAGCTCTCGTCTCCCAGATCCTGTGTGAACAGGTTTAATTTGTGTGTGCTGCCTAACTAGCAGTCTGGTTTTCACAGGGCTCTCTCGGGCTACAATTTGTTTTAACACATTTTTGCTCAGTCCAGGCTGTCGGAGCAAAGAGTAGGAAGACATTTTCAGCTTTGTAAAAGGTACCCTTAAACCGGGGACTAATTTGTCTTTATAATTTGTGTGGCTGGGCTGCCAGGTGCCTGAGCAGATGAAGGTACTTTTGTCAAGCCTGAGGGTCTGAGTTGGAATCCGGAAGTTGTCTGCCGACATCTACAAACGCTCCACACCCCTGTGTTTCTGCTAGCACAAGAGTACGTGCACTGATTTGTGGTTCTCTGTGGGAAAGAACTTGTTTGTTTGTTTGTTTTGTTTTTTCAAGACAGGGTTTCTCTGTGGCTTTGGAGGCTGTCCTGGAAGTAGCTCGGTAGACCAGACTGGTCTCCAACTCACAGAGATCCGCCTGTCTCTGCCTCCCAAGTGCTGGGATCAAAGGTGTGCGCCAGTGACGCCTGGCTTGGGAAAGAACTCTTTGTTCTTTCCCATTTGTTAGCGTAATAGTTTAATGAAACCTAAGGACTGAAAGGAACAATTGTTGTGTTCCTGTGACCTCTTTTAGAGGATTAGCTAGTGGCCTTATTTTAAAAGGTGAACAGTCATAAGTCCCAGTAGAGGACGTTTGGGATGGAGATCGCCTTTGTCACTTGATCTCTTTATAGTCAAATAATGAAGGAAGACTAAACTCTGGAGCATTGCATCAGTAAAGTGAAAAAGAGAACAAAACTTAGGCGAGCCTTGTGGGGGTGGGATCTGGTCTTGCTCTGTCGGCCAGGTTGGCCAGCCCGTGAGGCCTTCCTCCCTCTGCCTCAAGTGCTGAGCCGGCCTTCTTAGCGCTTCCGTTCCCAGCCCCGTGGCTGGATTTTTAAAAGCAGGTGCGCATACCTGACAGTCATTACCTGGTTCTGGAACAGAACCTCCTCAGCACTCTCAATGCCTCTGCTGTCCTCTCTCCCCAGCCATCACTCCGTGAATAGCACAGTGACCTCTTTAGCTGTGGCTCTGCCTGCTTTGAACTTTGTACAGTGGTTTCTTCCTAGCTGCCCTCCTTCTTTCACGCTGAGATACAAACTCGAGAAGTAATTTCTTTTGTTTGTCTTTTGAGGCAGCCCTGGCTGGTCTGGAACTTTCTGTGTAGACCACGCCAACCTCAGACTAACAGACCCCCAGCATGGGCACCTGAGTGCTGGGAGTAAAGGCCTGTGCTGCCTGACATTCCTGTGTCACCTGTTTCACAGCTATCTCTAGTTTTAGAGCAGGCACTGTGAACGTCTCGGTGTACGTAACATTTGATTCTATTAAACATGTACCAGGAGAGGAATTCGAGGTCACAGTGTACACAGCTACCAAGCTTTGTCTCTGCTTCTCTAGTCCAGCAGCATTGTGTGTGAGTTTCAACTTCATTCACATGACTAAACGTCTCCATAAAATGTAGTCAGTACTAGAGACGGCTCAGCAGTTAAGAGCATGGCCGCTCTTCCAGAGGAGCGGAGTTCAATTCCCAGCACCCACATGGCAGCTCATTCCTGCCTGCAACTCTAGTTTCAGGGGATCTGACACCTCACACAGACATACATGCAGGAAAAACAGGAATGTACATGAAATAAAAATAATTGAAAAAAAGTAGTCAACTCTGAGATTACTAAGAGAAAACTACTAGAAAATGACTAAATGCTTAGATTGCTCTGCTAGAATGAAGAAGTCACTGTGATGCCTGGCCTTCTGTCTTTTAGATATGGCTCGTGGACAGCAGAAGATTCAGTCTCAACAGAAAAATGCCAAAAAGCAGGCTGGACAGAAGAAGAAGCAAGGACATGACCAAAAGGCTGCTGCCAAAGCGGCCCTAATATACACCTGCACCGTGTGTAGGGTAAGGACCCACAGCCTAATATACACCTGCACCGTGAGTAATGGACCCACAGACTGCTCCCTTGTGGGCCATTCTTACCCTGCAAATGTGTATGGGTTAAGTCACCCCACCCGCCACCTCCACAACAAAATGGATGGTTTATTTGAACTCAGTTGTGAGAGTGGTTTTCTTTTAGGAATCCATCTATAGTCACACATTCAGGAAACATTTTCTGTGTGGTTCCTGTGGCTGTGCGTGCAGGAAAATGTGGATAAAACAAAGTTCTGCCCCTTGTGTAGAATAAAGGTGCCTTCATAGAACTTATAGTAAGTTGTAAAAAGATCCCAGCTGCATTCTTCTGTGGGTAAGGCCAAGCTTCGTGTGGTGTGGTGAGTGTAATGCTGCCCGTATGGCTGTCTGTCCTCCATCTCCCATCAGACCGCAGTTTGAGTACATGTACTGCCACGTGATTTCACACTTAGAATTAGCGTGTCTAAAGAGTTGTTGGGGTTCGCTTGCCACATGCGAGGATGGAGTCAGGTGTGTTGCCTGTACTCTCACATGTGTAACCCCCACATGAATTGCATAGCTTGCACAGGTAATCCAGAGTAAGGAGAGATGGACCTGAGTCCAGGCAGACTCGCTTTAAAGTCTAACCTCTGTCTGTCTGTGTCAGGGAAGAGGAGCACAGTTGAGTTGGTCTGGTGTATAGACTGTGTTTTTAAGCCGTGTACTTGAGTAAGATTGATGGTGGGGATGGGAAGGGATCTTGATAAGACACGATTGTTAGACTGAAGTAAATCATGTGTTGAAGTCTTACAAATAGAAGTTCCTAACTACATGACAGTCGTCATTGAGAGGGGATCCGACAGTATCACGATCATGTTGAACCTTGATAATAATGATGAGACTGAATGGCTTCTGGCCTTTTCAACAGAGGCTAGGGGAAATTAAAAATCATTAGGTTAGTAAGGCAGACAGCCTTTGACCTTTAAAGGTGTATTTTGTCGGATGTGTATGCATGAGTATATGTGTGTACATGTGAGGTGCATATGCGTACACACGAATGTGGAGACATCGGTGTCATCCACAATCTCTCCCCACTTTACCCCTTTGAGGCAGGTTCTCTCTGAGCCCAGCTCACCAGTAGGCTGGAGTGGCTGGCCCGCAAGCTGGGGGTCTGTTAAGAGAAGCTTTTTCCTTGAGAAGGAGCCGTTCCGCCAGCCTGGTTCCAGAGCCACTTTCCCGCCAGCCTGGTTCTAGATCCACATCAGTCCCAAATAAACACATAGGAGGCTATATTCATTATGAAGCTGTTGGCCTTGCTTGTCTCTTACTGGCTAGCTCTGCTTTAAGTAATTACCCCATAATTGTTAATCTAAGCATGTCTCTTACCGGAGAAGTTTCCGGGCTCCTACCCGGCGTTACATGTCGACTCTCCTGTGTTTCTCCTACCCAGAATCCTCCTGGATTCCTAGCCCCACCTATCTAGATTCCTATTGGCCAGACAGTGCTTTATTAGCATAAGACTTCCCCAACAGGGGTCCCCTTGTTTTGTTGTAGTAGCTCACGTGATGATGTGTGCCCATGCCTGACTCTTATGTGGGTACCAAATTCAGATCCTCCAATTAACAGGGACTGTAAATGCTGAACATTCTCCCCAGCCCCTAAAAATACACTTCAAAAATGTTAAAAATGAACTTTCTGTTTATGTAGTAGAGCGTTTTGGATAATAAACAAAGGTGGTCATTACTGTATTGTAAGAGAATCTAGAACTGAGTTGAAACACAGCTCTCAGGCAGACTAGGCTCCCTGTTAGCCTCTCTGACCCGTAAAATGAACCTGTCAAGGTTCTGTGAGAATTAAGATTGTTTAATGAGTACATGCCTTCTGTTTGCTGTCATGGCATAAAATTCTTTATGTGCTGTTGCTCTTCATGGGTGAAATGTTAGGAGTATCTTTGTTGTAAGATACTTTTTCATGTGCTGGCCACAAGTAGGAATGTGAAGGCACCTTGCAGTAATTGTTGCATGCATCTCTTTCCTGCATAAACTCTGGTTCTTGTCTTTGTAAACTAGACGCAGATGCCGGACCCGAAGACCTTCAAGCAGCACTTTGAGAGCAAGCACCCCAAGACGCCCCTCCCCCCAGAGCTGGCCGATGTGCAAGCGTAGAGTGGTTTACAGGTGACTGGTTTTCTGCTGCTTTGTCAGGCTGGATCTCTGCCTCTAGCAGAGACTTGGTGACTTCACTTCTAACTTTTGCACCAGAGCTAAATAGTAGTATTCAGTATAAATCAAAAGTATTCTAGGGAAACAATTTGTGATTGGTAAGAGCCCTTTCCCCGGGACCCTCTGGATTCATGCCTTTGAAACACTGTAGAGGGAGGAGCGATTCTGGCCAGTCATGAGCCCGGGATGAGAGACTTGTCAGCCGTACGAGAGTAGTCACTTCAAGGGCACAGGGGGCTTTTCCCAGAAACTCAGAGCAGTTTACTCAGTGTGTTTTTATGTTTATTTGCTTATTTGTAATGCTAGGCGGAGCTTCTCTGTGTTAAAATAGAGCAAAAATCTCTGTAGCACCTCCAGTTTAAGTGACCTGTTTAACCTTCATGTGTGGTTGGGGTCTTGCCCGCCTATGCAGTGTGTTTGGGAATTGTCTTCGTCTATAATATCCAGTTGGTGAGTCCACCGCCCTGGCATGCTGACAGCCTTTGCTTTTAGGGATTTGAAATGCTTATGCTTGCCGGTCACTACATTGACTGAAGCGTTCCTTTGTCTTACAGGTGAACTCCTGACACCTTTGACTCTTCTACTGTCTCAGACCTTAGGTAACAAACCTGCAGCTGCTTTTTTTAAACAAACTGTTGATCAGCAGAAATAAAGGGGCTACAGAAACACTCATTTTTATGCTGTTCCCTTTGGGCTTCATGCAAAGAGAATTCTGTGTAAATGTACAGTTGACTCTGATTTGGAAATCTGAAGAATCAGTCCATTCTTGTTATAAAATTTTTTTACAATTGTAATTATATCGATGTTCATATTGTGTAAAATAACTCATTTAATAAAGTAGCGCTTTGATTTTACCACATCACAAGATAAATGGTTCTAGAAACTCTGTTCTAACTTCTTATAATTTGCCTTATTGTAGGAGTGAATCTCTGAGCTAGCTTGGCAGGAGCAACCCTCCCCGTTTCTCAGCGCAGCGGCAGGCTTGTGGAGCTAGTGCAGACCCGTTCAGTAGACTGTGCCCGTGATTAATAAGCAGGCAGCTGATGGCGGTTGCGGCTGTGCGCGGTCGCGTGTCGTTCCCACCTCTGGCCATCCCTGTGCTTGATGTTGAGAAATGGACACGTGTTCAGTGGCCTGGCTCCACTCCAGCCGTGGTGCGCTGTAGGTGTGACAGGTGCAGGTCACAAAATTGGTAGGATTGCCAGTGGGCCCTTCTCAGGATTGGGTCCCAGGGTATGTGCCAGAATGAAATGGTGGTTAAAAGTCATTTAGTTAATTTTATGAATGGATCTTGGCATTTAACAGAAAGATTGGAATGATTTGTGCCAGGTCAATTCCCAGAACATTCTTTGTCTCTCAAGTAAGACGTAATTTTAGGAACTTAGTGCTGGCTCCTAGTGTCTAGTGCCTGACTTGCACGTGAACTAGCAGATGTTACAGTGGGCCAGGCTCACGTTTGTTCAGTTGGGTAAGGCAGAGTCTACTGGTGAAGGAAGACTAGTCTGGTGTTCTAGTTTTCTTTTGTTGCTGGTTTGAAGTAATCAGAAGAACCTGAAGACAAGTGCTGACCGCTGCATGTGGGCCTGTGGCGACAGGTGACTCCCCCCTTGGTGGCAGCGTAGTACACTCTGACACCTGGCTGGTGCCACTGAGCTTGGAGGGTGGTATCTAGGGAGATCCTCAGAGCCCTGTCCCCAGCCTCACTGAGTACAGCCCTTCTGTTACTCTGTTCAATTTCCTGCCTTTCAGGCTGTTCGCTAAAATGTTGCTGACTGAAATTAGATTTCACCTGTTTCCTGTGGAGCTCCCGGATATGCTAATAAAATGGCAGGGCTAGGGCTGATGGACATCGCTTTTTAGCACAGACTGGCTGCTACTCAGAGTATTTCATTTGTCTCACTGTAATTCAGAATAAACCTTTCGATCTTGTATTTAACTGTTGTGTAAGCACTAAAGACACTGCATTTCAATTTGTATCTCAGATATGGAATAGGTGACGAACCTCCCTTCTTAGCGCGGGGGATTGCCAGCATGGTCCTCTTTTGTGTTTCAGTTAAACTTGCTGTAAAGAGAAGATGACAACTCAGACCTTTTTGTCATTTAACTCGGAGATTCCTTAACAGACGAATCTGTTTAAAAACTGTTCCGTTGTCTTCAAAGGTGACACGAAGTAGCGAGAGGGAATTGATGTGTTTGTATTCTGTATTTATGTTAGTTGTCGAAAGGAATGGGGTTCACATTCAGCTTGCTTCCGTACTCACCCCATGTTTAGGGGACACACTCATGTGTGCTGTAATGTCTTATTAAAGATGGTAAAGAAAACGAAACTAGTCTAATTTCTTGTACATTTTTAAGAGGTTTTTTGTTTTTTTGCATCGCCTCTTCCCCCCCCCCCCCCCCTTTCTGATTTTAGAATTTCCTCTTTAAGTGTAGCCTGGTAGTTCAGAGGGTGGCAAGTTAAGTTCTTTCATTTTTATTGTTTTCTCTATATTTGACTATTTTGATTCCTTAAAATACTTCCTAAGAATGAACAAAATGTCAAGATACTCGAAGGAAAACATTAACATTAAAATACTAAATAAAATATGCTTGGGCCAGTTACTTGACTAGGATGACTCAGCTCTTCTTGACACCAGGACTTAAGACTTGTTTTTGTCTTGTTTTGCTTTTTTTGAGAGAGTTTCTCTGTGTAGCTCCTGGAACTCAAAAGATCCTCCTGCCCCTGCCTTCCAAGTGCTGGGATTAAAGACATGCAGCACCACTTGCCCAGTGACTTTGGGATTTATATTACAAATATTTCATAGGCGTGACAGCATAATTCCAACTTGAGATATAGCATAAGGTCACCATTACTACAGTTTACCCTTCAAAACCCCAACTTTTGTTTTTCATCATTTGCACATGGAGTATACGCTGCCTGTTTTAAATCCTGGCTAGTGTAACATTGTTTCTTTTCTCTTTTCGAGTCTCCAGAGCACAGACTGACCTCGAACTCAGATCTGCCTGCCTCTGCCTCCCACGAGCTGGGACATGCCCTTTCCTATAATGCATCGATCAAGCACTGTCTAAACCATAGCTAAAATGTAGCATTCAAGCATTTGAGTCTGAGTGAATTCCTTTGTGTCGGTTTCCTAGTGTGGGCTTTGGTTGCTTGTTCAATGTGTTGGCCGTGGTGAATCGACAGGCAGGGTTATGTTTAATTAATGTGCATAGTGAAATAGTTAGACTAGCTTAATTTTACTGTGATGAGTGTGAGTCTTCAGTGTATCGGTATAATAAAGTTTCTGCTAGACTGAAAAAAAATGTTTCATTAACAAGACTCATCGTTAGTTACAGTGTAAATTTCTTTTAAAGATTAGTGAGTTGCAGTTTTTACAGTCACTCTTTACCCACTTCTTTGTGTACAGATGAAGCTTGGAAAGTTTCCTACAGTGGTAGATTTCCATCACATGCTGCTTGTTTGTGGGTGTGACCGTCTTTGTTGACAGTGTTAAAGTCATATTCTTGAAAATGTCGTGTACTTGCAGCATAATTACGTGATTACTTCTGGCTTTCCTTCTTTGGGACACCGCCTGTTCTTTGACCCTCCTGCCTCCCCCTTTTAAGCGCTTGGGTTACAGGTATGCAGCACCATACCTCACCATGCTTCAGGATTTCTCGTGGCTTTCATGGTATGGACTGTAAGTACCCTGCTTTGTCACTGCCTTGGGGTGGTCTGCACGTTACCTGGGGATCTGCAGAGGCTTTCTTTCTTCCCCTGTTGCTGGAGTATCCGTCCCAGCCTGGTCCCGCTATGGCGTCAGCCCCAAATGAACACACAGAGACGGTCTACTAACGATTAAACTGTTGGCCGATGGCTAGGGCTTCTTACTGTCTAGCTCTGTCTTAATTATTAACCCGTTTCTATTAATCTATGATTTTCCATGTGGTCTTGGCTTACCGGAGAATGCCCGGACCTGTTACTCCTTTGTGGTCTACATAGTGACTGTTTTTTGGTAGGCTCTCTCCGCCTGCTTTCTCAGAATTCTCCTCATTTCCTAGCCCCACCTGTTTTCCTGTTTCTGGCCAAAATGTATTTTATTCATCAACCAATAAGAGAAACATACATACAGAAGGACACTCCCCATCATTCCCACCTGTTCAGTCACTTAGAAGTATCCATATGGGTTGTCAAGCCAGTACTGTTACCTGTCTTGTTAAAATTGTCAGCTTTGGCTGTCAGCAGCTTTCTGATCGACTCCGGGGTCCCGCTAAAAGCCCTGTCTTGTTGGTTTTTGAGGATTGTCTTACTTGAAAGACCATGATTAGTCCTAAGCTTATCCTGTATGTTCTCAGAATGAGCATTTCCCCACTGGTTCCCTTGAAAGGATTATCAGAAATCTAGGTCTGTATGCTGGGTATTGTCTTGGGAGAAAGAGTTTTTCCTTTTAATTAGGAAATACTGGACATTTTGGGGAGGAAGAATCTCTTTGTGGGACAAGGTCTCTGGCTGAGTGTTCCTCATATACCTGCTGATGCCCCCACCCCATCCTCTCGGGGGGAGACGGAACCCAGGGCCTACACAGGCCAGGCAAACCCCGAGCTGCGTCTCCAGCTGCAGACTTGAGGGTGCATCTCTGATTCCTGTGTGAGCCTTAAAGCATTGCAGGAGAGCAACAGAGGGTAAGTAATGATACAAAGCCTCCGCACTTTACAGGCGTAATGCATCCTAGGGAAAGTACACATTTCATTTGCCTGATTTTAAGATATTGTTTACTTAGTGTGCTCTGCATAGCTCCTCTGGGAGAGAGGTTCGTAAGATAAGTCTTGGCTAGAGGGCAAGAGCTGACTAGGGTTGTGGAGAGGAATGGGAGCAAACAAGTGAAGAGGGCTGGCTGTGTTTCTGAAGAGTGAGGGGGATGCCCTTTTGTGTATCTTTCTTTTCTTTTTTTTTTTTTTTTTTTTTTTTTTTTTGGTTTTACGAGACAGGGTTTCTCTGTATTGTTTTGGAGGCTATCGGTCCAGCCCGGCCTCGAACTCACAGAGATCCGCCTGCCTCTGCCTCCCGAGTGCTGGGATTAAAGGCGTGCACCACCACCGCCCGGCTTGTATATCTTTCTTATTGGTGAATAAAACATTCATTGGCCAATAGCCAGGGAGGAAATGAGACAAGACAAGAATTTTGGGGAGAAGAAGGCAGAGAGAGGAGCTTCCAGAGAGAGATACCATGTAGCTACGGGGAAGATAGGATGCACCGGGCATTCTTTGGTAAGGTAAGGCCATGTAAAAATACATAGATTAATAATTAAGAAAAAAAAACTAGCCAATACAAAGCCTAAACCATCAACCAAGCAATTTCTAACTAAGTCTCTATGTTCATTTGGAGCTAAGAGTGTCGGGACCAGGAGGGACAAAAACACCATCTACAGAAGACTGTGGGGCTACGTTTATGACGGGAGCCCTGGAGCCCACGGCTGAGAGCGGGGAGCAGCCCTTGAATGGGACCAAGTTGTGCAGTGTGCATACCGTGTTGTTTGACAATGGGAATGTCATTGAAGAGTGTTACTGGTGAAATATTGAGTGTCTGTGGACCCTTGTGTACCTTACCTCTTCATTATTTAACTCTGAAGGGAGTTATGAATATAGATTAAGAGTTTTCTGGACAGTGGTGATGCACCTCTTTAATCTCAGCACTTGGGAGGCAGAACAGGTGGATCTCTTGAGTTTTAGGACTGCCAGGGCTACACAAAGAAACCCTGTCTAGAAAAACCAACCAAGCCGGGCAGTGGTGGCGCATGCCTTTAACCCCAGCACTCAGGAGGCAGAGGCAGGTGGATCTCTGTGAGTCCAAGGCCAGCCTGGTCTACAGATCAAGTTCCAGGACAGCCATGACTATTTCACAGAGAAACTCTTGTCTCGAAAAACCAACCGGGAATGGGGGTGGGATTTTGCTCTGTTCTGGTGCAATGATACTGCTGGTGTTCAAGAGTTCGCTGTTTCACTCTGTACCAGGAGACCCTGGATGTGTTGAATCTGTACATGTTTGTCATCTACTTGATTAAAAGGTAATACATTTAGAAAACACACACACACTTTATAGAATATGGAAAATCTGAACTGTTAAAGCAGTATAAAAACCAGTCAATAGTCTCTTTCATACTTGTTCATACATGCACATATTTTATATGTTAACGAATACTTGTATGTTGCGGGATCCTGCCTAGGTCCTGGAGCCGGGCCAACCCAAATGAACACACAGGAAACTATATTAATTATGAAGCTGCTAGTCGTTTGCTTGATTTCTTACTGGCTAGCTCTGATGTAAGTATTTAACCTATAAGAGTATTTCTCTTACTGGAGAAAAGGGTCCGGACCTCTTACTCCTCTGGCGACCTACATCGTGTCTGGCTGTGTCTCTCTTTCCCAGAATCCTCCTCGACTCCTAGTCCCACCTATTTTGCTTCCCTATTGGCCAACAGTGCTTTAGTGCTTTATTCAAACCAATCAGACACATATTTACAGAATGACATCTCCCAACATCTATCTCCTCTTTTCTGTCTAAAATAAAAGAAAGGTATTAGCTTCAACATAGTCAAATTATAATAACAGAACAGTTATAAAGCAAGAACTATAGTTACAATATTTTGTCCATTGACATTTAGTAAGATTCAAAGAAAATATCCTATCTTTGTGAACCTAAAGACTTACATAGCTTATCTTTTATCATAACTAAGGAAAACTATGATTATAGCTATCTGTCTTCAACTCCATCAAAGACCACAGAAGGATAATATATAAACACTAGGATTGACAGAGACATCTCGCTGCCTAGACAGTCACCCGAAGTTCCTCTGTCATGTTGGGGTATCCATCTTCAGCCCATAGGCCACAGTGTGTCTGGAAGACTTCTCGGCAAAGCAGGAAAATTTCAAACTGTCCATCTGCATTGGCAATCAGTCTGTCAGTCATTTTTCTGCGTCCTGCAGAAAGTCTGGCAGACTCTTCATGAAGCAGGGATGGAACAGGTGAGGTATATAAGGGAAGGAAAAGGAAAAGCCCTCTCCCTTGGGAGCCGGCCACGCTTCTCATCTTCCCAGCTTGTATGTAAGTGCTTTCTCCGGGTAATGAAAACACTTGTTTCCCCATTGCGTTGACTTTCCCGACACTTGTAGTCATTCATATCATAGTAATTTGTAGTCGTTTATATCATGGAGCTTTGCCGTTTAACATAGCAAATGAGTTTGCTTCACGTTATGCCTTGTCATAAGTGTAGTTATGTGGTTGGTGATCCACTTAGATTTGTTGGAAGCGTTTCTTCCTGGGAGGTCCTCAGGTTTTTTTACCTTGT